CGGATTAAACTCGCAAGTAGAGGTTCCACTGTACTTTGTTCAAAAGTCTAGTTGTAGAATCACACAGTCATATGATGACAAGCATTGATCCTGATATCGACCTTTTATTAAATGACTTAGGCACATCGAACAGCAACTGTAATTATTATACAGCAGACCAAGCAAAGACATTACTCAGAGCCAATAATAACATAACTATCTTTAATTACAATGTCAGATCTTTGAGCAAACATTACAATGACCTCACAGCATTACTCAATTCCCTGCATACCAGTATGTCAATCATCACACTCACCGAAACCTGGCTAAAGCCTGGTACTACAGATGTGTATGCCATTCCTGGTTACACAGCCATACACAACTGTAGGACAGACCAGCAAGGGGGTGGAACAGCTATATACTACTCAGATCAACTTGAATGTATCAATAATTCTTGCAAAAGGGATGAGCATGGAGATTATATAATGGCTGAATTTAAATCAGAAGACCTGCAAAAACCCCTCAGTCATAAACATCTACATAGTACCACAGTCAAACATTTACCATTTTAGTGACAAATTAGGAAACATGATAACTGATGCTCACATGGACAAAGACCACTTACTGCTCACAAAAGATTTCAACATAAATCTCCTACATGACCAGGACCCACAAGTAACTGAATTCACAAACACTATGAGTAACTGCCTGTTGCTACCAACAATAACAAAACCTACAAGAATCTCCTTGACCAGTGTCTCCTTATTAGACCACATCTGGACTAACACCATATCCCCTTTAAAGTCGGGCATAATCACAGACAACACCACAGACCACTACCCTACCTTTCTCATAACCAACCTAGGTAAATTGCCCCAAGACACTACTAAAGTTACCTTCAGACTACATAATGAGACAGCAGTTAATAACTTTATAACAGCTATGATTAACATCAACTGGAATAATGAACTAGAAACATACACTGATACTGTACTGATGAATGTATTAATTTTCTAAAAAAATACCCATTACACCTCTGTAACAAGCATTGCCCCAAAAAACTGAACAGATCACATCTAAGAGACTAAACAGTCCCTAGCTAACACCCAGCATCCTTAAATCCATTAACACAAAGCACCTATATGAAAAGCAGTATAGAATGGGCCAAATAGCCAGACACTATTCTAAATGTTACTCGACAATCCTTACCAGCCTGATAAGGTCAAAAAAATTGTATTATGAGAACAAATTACATAACATAAAAGGTGATATGAAAAAGACCTGGAAAACCCTATCTGAAATTCTAGGAACTAAAAAGATATCTGTAAAACAAAACAAAATCAAATTAACAAGATCAGATGCATCCCTACTCCCACCAACTGAAACAGCAAACAGACTCAATGTTTTCTTCTCCACCATAGGAAAGAATCTAGTGAGCAAAATCCCAAGCTCAAACATCCGTCCATCAGACTACCTCATGGGTACCTACCCAAATACACTATTCCTAGCTCCAACCAACCCAACAGAAGTCTCGCTCATCATCAACACTTAAAAACAAGGAGGGAGATATAAATAACTTATCACCTTTTATGTACAAAAAAGCTTCTCAAGTACTGTCACCTATTATTGCAACACTCTTTAACAAATCCATCAAATCCTCCACCTTCCCGTCAATTCTCAAAGTAGCGAGGGTCACCCTGATCCACAAGGGAGGAGATCAGACTTGAATAACTATAGACCAATATCTAACTTACCTTTAAAATCTTTGAAAAATTAATTCATAGGCAGATCTATTCCTATCTTGTCTCTCAAGACATGCTCAACCCCTGTCAGTTTGGATTCAGGACTAATAAAAGTACAAATGATGCTATTATACACATGCTAGAACTAATATACACCACTCTCAAGAAGAATGAAGCCCCGCTGGGAATCTTCATTGATTTACCTAAAGCTTTTGATACAGTCGACCATGATTTGCTGTGCATTAAATTAACACACTGTGGTATAAGAGGGCATTCCCTCAACTACCCAAAGTCATACCTTAGTAACAGAAGCCAATATGTGTACACAAATGGAGCTAACTCTTCCACACAACCAATTACAGTTGGGTTCCCACAAGGAAATGTCCTTGGCCCTCTCAGTGTTCTACCGAATGCATCACAGCTACTCAAACCCATATTGTTTCCAGATGACACAACATACGTCTTCTCTCACCCAAACCCAGTCATACTGGCCAACACTGTTAATGCTGAGTTGCAGAAAATATCTACCTGGATGATGATTAGCAAGCTTACACTCAATACTGACAAAATTTATTTCATTCAGTTTGGAAACAGCCACAAATGTTACACTTAAGGCTAAATGGATCACCCATTACAAGACGCACAGAGGGAAAATTCCTAGGAATCCACCTTGACAGTAGCCTCAAATTCTAGACACATACAACTAATTTCTAAGAAAATCTCTAAGACAGTAGGCATACTTTCAAATATAAGGTACTGTGTTCTACAATCAGCTCTCCTTGCACTGTGTCACTCACTCGTCTACCCTTATCTCACCTATGGAATTTGTGCATGGAGATCAATAACATTAAATCACCTAAGACCACTAATAACCTAACAAAAGGCTGCAGTCAGAATGATAAATCCCACTCCAGAGAGCATACTCCATCAATATTCAGAAATCTAAAACTACTCACTAAAGAACATCCATATACATACTACATACATACAAACAAACCCTTCACTCAAACTTCTCGCCAAACTTAACAGGACGCACGACCATAACACAAGACAGATCACTTTTTGATGCACCGCATGTCCACATTACAGTGTGTAAGAACTATGCACATACAGGTACCATCAGACTTATGACCGAGTTCGGTTCCAACCACCTGGTTGTAAGTTGAAATGGATGTAAGTCAAACCTTACTACTGAATATCAACATCACATTTTTGTAATTACTTTATTTTATTTTTTTATTTTGGTATTTCATTTTTTCTTTACTTTTTATGCTGTTAGTACTGTATTTTATACTGTAAGGTTAAGGATAAACACTGTGTACAACACAAACAGTTGTTTATTTCTCAGAAATTTGGCATACAAAACACGGTCGTAAGTCGAATGGTCGTATGTCGAGCAGGTCTTAAGTCAGATGGTAGGTGTACAGGGCTCCAAAATTTGGAATTCATTACCAGTAAATACTAAAGTAACCTGGTCTGAACATCAGTTTAAGGCTCTTCTTAGAAACCATCTAGTTACCCTAAACTAAATATTCAATACTCGGTACTTAAATTGCCAAAAGATCTCCCAATTACCTAAATCTTAACACTTCAAAATTTAAATACCCAAAGTTCATACATAACTTAATACTACATTGTAGTATAAATACCTGAACAAAACTATACTGCCTTACACCATATTGTAGCATTCTCATACTGTAAACAACTTTCACCAATGCTCAATATTATGTTCTAACAATATAACTTAAATATTTACTATTGATGTACACAACCTACAAAATACTTTCAAATTGTCCCTGTGTAATATTCCCAGATTGTAACTTACTGTCTGCTTTAAATCACCAGGGCCACTATCTCCATTTGGTGCATTGTCCTCCAGAACAACACTAGCACACTCTGGAGCACTGTCTTCCAAGACAGCCCTGTCCAACCCACCCATTTTATTTTCCCAGCTGTCATACCAGGCTGAAATTCTAAATAAAAATATATTTGCTAAATACACGTACTGTTGGTTTATTTACCCTTATTAGTACTATCCAGACCTCCAAAATTCATATTGCTTTCAGTGTCTACATTAAAAAAAAATTCTTCTCAAATGGTAGAGAATCCTTTTCTGAAGGTAATGACATCAAAAGTATGCAGTTTGATGGAAAACTTATGGAGTTAAGCAGGCACAAAGTTAACTAGCAGTCTGGGTGCAATTTACTCATTGGCAATTTCATCCACTTTTGAGTCAGTCCTAGTTCAAGTTGATTCTATTGCTCCATTTGACCATAGTCTTAGTTATTTTGCTAGAATGTCAGTAATTGGGCCAATTTTACTTAAAATAAAAAATTTCAATTTGAAAATAGTTCAAAATAAGCACTGTAGACATTCCAGGCACTAAAATAACATTTCCTTTGTCCATTAGTCATGTCCTCAGGTCTCTCCAATATTACACTTTCCTTCCATTTTGAATTCGTAATCACAAAAAATAGAAGATTTACCCTATTTCTTGATAAAATATAATCAGGAATGATTGGTCATGGTTTATGGTGTCCCAATAATTGAATCAGGCCTATTAAAAAACCCAGAAAATAGACTTGGGGTATAGGGGGCTATCCACATTCTCAGGAAAATCGGCAAAAACTTAATATTTGTTACTTTGATCCCAATTTCAATCTACTTCCAATCCTGAAGCCAACCAAAATCATCTCTATTTCAGTAGTATGTCTTGCATTCTATCAATTGATGCCAAGAATCAACCAATAAATCCATAAAAACCATCCGAGAGAAAACCTCAAATTTCCTATTTTAAATGAAATACATAGAGTTTTGCTTTTCCTATCAAGCACTGAATGGGGCAGGATTTTTTTTATACTGTGCATATTTGCCGCACACATCCATTCCCTCATATCTAGGCCAAAATTAACTACTCTAAGCTCATCTGAGTGAGCTGAGCTCGTAATGTAGATGTATGTGACGACCACTCAGAAGGTAAATGTGCATGGATGTACAGTCAAAACCTGGAATTCACATGCTTTGTAATCTGTAATTCAACTATTCAAAGATTTATGAAGGTCACTTTGCAGAGAGCTATGATTATTCACTTCTTTTTTTCCTTCTTGCCCATTGTCTTATTGAGTGGTGCACAACCCCTACATTGAAAAATAGGTATGTGATTGTCTTTGAAATGTGCTTGTTCTTTTTTATGAATGTTTTATTAAGCAGGTTAGAGCATTATTTAGTGATATAGCCAAAAACTAAAAAACTTGTTTAACAACTGTGTTAACATTTCAGTGTTACTGTAACGACTCGGCGAGAATCATGGACCCGACCCCTCTGCAGCAGACAGTGATGGAGTCCACTGAGGTGACCTCCGACCCCCAGGAAGTCGACCTCTGTGCCCCCGGCTCCCCTACTGACCCCCCTACAACTCCCAACGCTGACCAGGCCTACGAGCCCTTAAGTTATGATGAGGTTAGTGTTTGTGTGTTTTTTTTTTTTTTTTGCTAAATTCGCAATAATTTATAAAGGTAGTAGGTTGGTAGACAGCAACCACCCAGGGAGGTATAGGTTGGCCATCACTAATCCGGCATCATTGGGACCTGTAGTGTGCCGGATTAGTGAGTTTGCCGGATTACAGAGTGGTTAGGTTAGAATACACTTAATTAACCTATCAATAGAGAGACTGCTACATCTTCCTCATTTTCATCACTGCTTTCTCCTTTGCTGGCTTGCTGCTGTGGATTTACAACCATCTGCACAATTTCTGAGTCACTGTAATGATGAAATTTGAGTCAGTATAATGATGAAATTTGAAATTATGCTAGCTGAAACTAGTGCCAGATTACTGATGGAACCGGATAACTTATTGCCGGATTAGTGATAGCCGACCTGTACTACCATCCTACCAAACGAGTGTGAAACACAAGCCTGTAATTGTTTTGCATGATGGTAGGATTACTGGTGTCTTTTTTCTGTCTCATAAACATGCAAGGTTGCAGGTATGTCTTGCTACTTCTACTTACACTTAGGTCACACTACACATGCATGTACAAGTATATATATACTAACCCCTCTGGGTTTTCTTCTATTTTCTTCCTAGTTCTTGTACTTGTTTATTTCTGCTTATCTCCATGGGAAAAGGAACAGAATTCTTCCTCCGTAAGCTATGCGTGTCTTAGGATACAACTCAATGCTGGGAGCAATGGGCTAGTAATCCCTTCTCCTGTATAAACTACTAAAAAGAAGGAAAAGAAAAACTTTATAAAATTGGGATGTTTGAATGTGTGTGTATGTAGTGCAGATGATAAGAAAGAAATGATTGCTAATATTATGAATGAAAAGAAGTTGGATGTCCTGGCCCTAAGCTAAACAAAGCTGAAGGGGGTAGGAGAGTTTCAGTGGGGAAAAATAAATGGGGTTAAGCCAGGAGTATCTGAGAGAGTTAGAGCTAAGGAAGAAGTAGCAATGTTGAAGTATCAATTATGGAGAGAGAAGAAGGAATATAAATGTATAAATTCAAGGATTATGTGGATTAAAATAAGGGTTGGATGTGAAAAGTGGGTCATAATAAGTGCGTATGCACCTGGAGAAGAGTGTAGAGGAGAGAGATATTGGGAGATGTTAAGTGTGTAGGAACTTTTGAACCAAATGAGAGAGTAATTGTGGTAAGGGACCTAAAGACTAAAGTAGGAGAAGCGTTTAGAGAGGGTGTGGGAGTTAAGTTTGGCGTGCCAGGTGTAAATGATAATGGGGAGCATTTAATTGAACTTTGTATAGAAAGGGGTTTGGTTATAGGAAACATATATTTTAAGAAAAAGAGGATAAATAAGTATACAAGATATGATATAGGCGTAATGACAGTAGTTCATTGGACTATGTATTGGTAGATAGGCTTGGGTAGACGTCGGGATGTACATGTTCATAGAGGGGCCACAGATAAATCAGATCACTCTCTATTTGTAGCTACAGTGAGAGTAAAAGGTAGATGGGATACAAGGAAAATGGAAGCAGCAAGTAAGAGATAGGTGAAGGTTTGTAAACTAAAGGAGGCAGCAGTTAGGATAAGATATATACAACTGTTGGAGGATAGATGGGCTAGTGTGAGTATCGGCAGTGGGGTAGAAGATGTATGGGGTAAGCTTAAGAATATAGCGTTAGTGTTCAGCAGAAGTTTGTGGTTACAGAAAAGTGGGTGCGGGAGGGAAGAAGCGAGAGTGGTGGAATGGTGATGTAAAGAAAGTAGTAAGAGAGAAAAGTTAGCATATGAGAGGTTTTTACAAAGTAGAAGTGATGCAAGGAGGTAGGAGTATATGGAAGGAAAAAGAGAGGTTAAAAGAGTGGTGAAGCAATGTAAAAAGCAAATGAGAGAGTGGGTGAGATGTTGTCAACAAATTTTGTTGAAAATAAGAAAAAGTTTTGGAGTGAGATTAATAAGTTGAGAAAGCCTAGGGAACAAATGGATTTGTTAGTTAAAAATTGGAGAGGAGAGTTATTAAGCCGTGAGTTAGAGGTGTTGGGAAGATGGAGGGAATATTTTGAGGAATTGTTAAACATTGATGAAGATAGGGAAGCTGTGAATTCATGTATAGGGCAAGGAGGAATAACCTCTTGTAGGAGAGAGGAAGAGCCAGTTGTAAGTGTGGGGGAAGTGCATGGGGCAGTGGGTAGGATGAAAGGGGGTAAAGCAGCTGGGAGTGATGGGATAAAGATAGAAATGTTAAAAGCAGGTGGAGATATAGTTTTGGCGGGGTTAGTGCTTTTACTTAATAAATGTATAGAAGAGGGTAAGGTACCTAGGGATTGACAGAGAGCATGCATATTTCAGTTGTATAAAGACAAAGGGGACAAAAAAAGTGTGTAAAAATTATAGGGGCATAAATCTGTTGAGTATGCCTGGTAAAGTTTATGGTAGTTATTATCAAAAGAATTAAGAGTAAGACAGCAGATGAACAAGGTGGCTTTAGGAAGGGTAGAGGGGTATGTAGACAGTGTTTGAGGTGAAAAATATAGGTTTTTGTGGCTTTTATGGATTTGAAAAAGGCGTATGATATGGTGGATGGGGGGGGGGGGTGGCAATGTGGCAGATGTTGCAAATGTATGGAATAGGAGGTAGGTTATTGAAAGCAGTGAAGAGAGTCTTTACGAGGGTAATGAGGCTCGGGTTAGAGTATGCAGGCGAGAGGGAGATTATTTCCCAGTAAAGGTAGGCTTTAGACAAGGATGTGTGATGTCACCATGGTTGTTCAATATATTTATAGATGACATTGTAAGAGAAGTGAATGCTCAGGTGTTGGCACAGTTACTCTTTGTTGATGACACTGCGCTTTTGTGAGATTCTGAAGAGAAATTGCAGGGGTTGGTTGATGAGTTTGGTAGGGTATGTAAAAGGAGGAAATTAAAAGTTCATTCATTCATTAGAGGTTCGCCGGTACTTCCGGCCCGGGTCTTCTCCATATGGTGACCCGGCTGTGGCCCCCGGTTGGGGGTGTCGTTCATCTTCTTTCTTCTGTCTTCTTTCTTGGGCCCTCCGGGTGGAGGGTATAGGAAATTAAAAGTGAATGTAGGAAAGAGTAAGGTGATGAGGATAACCAAAAATTTAGGTAATGTATGATTGGATATCAGATTAGAGGGAGAGTATGGAGGAGGTGAATGTATTCAGATATTTGGGAGTGGACGTGTCAGGAGATGGGTCTGTGAAAGATAAGGTGAATCATAGAATCGATGAGGGGAGAAAAGTGAGCGGTACACTGAGGAGTCTGTGGAGACAAAGAACTTTGTCCATGAAAGCAAAGAGGGGAATGTATGAGAGTATAGCTATACCAATGTTCTTGTATGGGTGAGAGGTATGGGTGGTGAATGTTGCAACAAGGAGAAGGCTGGAGGCAGTGGAAGTGTCATGTCTGAGGGCAATGTGTGGTGTGAATATAATGCAGAGAATCCGTAGTTTGGAGATTAGGAGGAGGTGTGGACATGTACAGAGGATGGAACGATATAGAATAACTTCGAGAGTCTATAAATCTGTAGTGGAGGTAAGGCGGGGTAGGGGTCAGCCTAGGAAAGATTGGAGGAAGTGGGTAAAGGAGTTTTTGTGTGCAGGAGGCTTGGACTTCCAGGAAGTGTGCGTGAGCATGTTAGATAGGAGCAAATGGAGACAAATGGTTTTTAGGACTTGACATGATGTTGGAGTGTAAGCAAGGTAACATTTTTGAATGGATTCAGGGAAACCGGCAGGCCAGACTTGATTCCTGGAGATGGGAAGTACAGTGCCAGCACTCTGAAGGAGAGGTGTTAATGTTGCAGTTTTATACCTGTAGTGTAAGCATGCCTCTGGCAAGCCAGTAATGGAATGAATGATGATGAAAGTTTTTCTTTTTTGGGCCACCCTGTCTTGGTGGGAAACGGCCTGTGTGTTAATAAGAAAAAATAATAAAATGTTAATTATTTGTAAATCTTTCTTCTTTCAACAAACCGGCCGTATCCCACCGAGGCAGGGTGGCCCGAAAAGGAAAGCAAGTGTTTCTCCTTTCAAATTTAGTAATATATACAGGAGAAGGGGTTACTAGCCCCTTGCTCCCGGCATTTTAGTCGCCTCTTACAACATGCATGGCTTACGGAGGAAGAATTCTGTTCCACTTCCCCATGGAGATAAAAGGAAATAAACAAGAATAAGAACTAGAAAGAAAATAGAAGAAAACCCAGAAGGATGTGTGTGTATATATATGCTTGTACATGTATTTGTAGTGTGACCTAAGTGTAAGTAGAAGTAGCAAGACGTACCTGAAACCTTGCATGTTTATGAGACAGAAAAATGGACATCAGCAATCCTACCATCCTGTAAAACAATTACAGGCTTTTGTTTTACACTCATTTGGCAGGACGGTAGTACCTCCCTGGGCGGTTGCTGTCTGCCAACCTACTACCTAGGTTATTTGCAAATGTATTAGGGAAATTATTAATTTCTCTGTTTAGAAGAGAAGTACAGCATTATGAAAAAGATCAAGATGGGTTGCTGTATGGCTAATACTAGTAAGTAAACAGTTAATTTGTGTGCATTAAAGTAGTCCAGAACATCTACATGCGTATAAATCGTCAAAAATAAAATATGAAGTAGAATTTGGCTTTCAGACCCCAAAAACCCAATTGCCATATTTATCAGCCTTTAATATATAATTTAAATATTTTATGCATTACCAAGTAAAGCCTGTTCTTTTTAAATATGACATCAGGAACAAAATGCTTAAGGAATTATGGAAAAAAGTTACGTGGATGCTGCTGCAACTGCTTTTATGTACCACTTTCAAAAAGTTCCTCTATTGAAAGTTATTAAACTGTCTTTCAAAAAGTGTGAAGCACTGTGATGGCCATGATAACTATCCAATCTGAGTTTGGGTAAGAGAAATGTGGAATTTGTTGGACAAAAAGTGTCTTGTTTAATTTTTTTTTTAACACTAGCCATTTCCTACTGAGACAGGGTGGCCCAAAAAAGAAGAAATGCTTCTGCCATCATTCAATCCATCACTGTCTTGCCAGAGGGGTGCTGATACTACAATCTAAAACTGCAGATATCCCTACCCCTCCTTCAGAGCGCAGGCACTGTACTTCCCACCTCCTGGACTCAAGTCTTGCTAACTGGTTTCCCTGAATCCCTTCATAAATGTTACTTTGCTCACACTTGGGGATATTGTTGCTCTGCCTCTGGGAAGACAGTAATTGAGCAAGTGGTGGTGGTGAAAGTGTTTATTCTTTAGCTAGCGTGTTGAAATAAACCTGATGCAGCCCTATGAAACTGGAAATATACACCAATGCTTTTACTTAGTTTTTTTTTTTTTGTCAAGCCTGAAGTTTATATCCTCTAAAAAGTCCTGTAATTTTTTCTCTCAGCTCTTCCCAGCCCTGCCCATTGCAAATATGACCCAGACACCAACAGTGGAAGCTCCTAAAGACAATTGGGCTAAGCACAGTGAAATGCGCATTGCCTCCTCAGTCATTACCCAGGTCAGTACACTGGCTTGTGATATATTGGATCTCATCTTCACTTGTTAAGCACACTTTAAACATTAATTTTGTATCCTTTTGTGTGCTTTGTTTATATGCTAACATTACTAGAAGATAGCACATTCCTGCTTGTACTAGTAAGGTACATTGCACAGAACCGTTTTTAGTGCATTTTTTTCAGTGTGAGCACAGACACATTCCCAGGGTACTCTTTATCTGTCTATGCCTACAACTGACAAGGTTAAACCCCACACAAACAAGCAAGTGTGTGTTTATGTATTATATAAAAAAATGTGTAATTGTAATGTGTTTAGCTTATTAACACAAGTGAAATTTTTTATTGAAGTGTCAAACTGTAAAATATGAACTACTGTACTTAAAATTTTGTACTTAAGCAGGCTACTTAGTTATGTCAGCTGGGAAAACAACAACATGTGTTTAGTATTTATCAGAAGGCATTAAGAGCAATTTTTAATTTTTTTGTTTTTGTTTTTAGGTATTCCGTGTCCCCTATGAAGAGCGAGCTAAACTTGACGGTAACAATCAGTTTGGAGAATCTGCCTCTTCTCGCATCTGTGCAGACATTACTACCCGCACTGGAGCACACATTGAGATCTCTTCAGCCAAGGATCAATCTTTGACTTTCTTAGTTACGGGCAAGACTGAGGCGGTTACCAAGGCCCGACGGCTTGTTCTTGAGAAATTCCAGACACAGGCTCGTCATACAATCAAAATACCCAAGGTAATATAGCTGGTATTAATTAGGTATTCCCATCAGTGGAGAATTAATGCATCTTCATTTGCTCTTGTCTACTCGGCTCGGTCAAAAATTCTCACTGAGTTACAAACAGTAAGTCACCCATTATTTGGTGATCTTTTTGGCAGTGCCAAGGGGGCTTGAGCCCCCCCCAAAATTATTTGAGCACCCAATGCCCCAAGTAAAATAGTAGTAATAATGTTGCTTCAAAGCAGGTCTCCTAGCTTCCCTCTCCCTTCCATTCAGATAGCCACCTCTAACGTCTCTACCCCACCAAGTATAGAAGTTTTGGCATTGCCCCTGATCTGGCAATCTTATTGTATCAGTGAAATGAACCATTAATTTATACTGTATTTTCTAGCTTAGAAGGAGCATCCCAGTTTTGGCAGGCATATTCTGGAGGGTGTGTAAAGGTGAAAGTTGAAAGTGTACTTAGATAAGAGTAAGGTGATGAGGGTATCAAACGATTTAGATAAAGAAAAATTAGATATCACATTGGAGGGAGGGAGTATGGAAAAAGTGAATATGTTCAGATATTTGGGAGTTGACTTATCAGCAAATGGGTTTATGAAGGATGTTAACCATAGAATTGATGAAGGGAAAAAGGTGAGTTGTGCATTGAGGATCTGTGGAGACAGGAAATGTTATCTATGGAGGCAAAGAAGGGAATGTACGCAAGTATAATGGTACAAGCACTCTTATATGGGCGTGAAGCTTGGGTTGTAAATGCTGCAGGAAGGAGGAGGCTAGAGGCAGTGGAGATGTCATGTCTAAGGGCAATCTGTGGTGTAAACATAATGCAGAGAATTCGTAGTGTGGAAATTAGGAGGAGGTGTGGAGTTACTAAAAGTATTAGTCAGAGATCTGAAGAGAGGTTGTTGAGTGGTTTGGGCATTTAGAGAGAATGGAACAAACTGGAATGACTTGGAGAGCATATAAATCTGTAGGGGATGGAAGGTAGGGCAGGGGTTGTCCTCGAAAAGGTTGGAGGAGGGGGTAAAGGAGGTTTTGTGGGCTGGGGGCTTGGACTTGCAGCAAGTATGCATGAGTGTGTTAGATATTAGTGAATGGAGACGAATAGTTTTTGGGATGTGACGAGCTGTTGGAGTGTGAGCAGGGTAATATTTTGTGAAGGGATTCAGGGAAACCGGTTAGCTGGACTTGAGTCCTGGAATTGGGAAGTACAATGCATGCACTTTAAAGGAGGGGTTTAGGGTATTGGCAGTTTGGATGGACATCTAAACTGTCATATCTGAGCACCTCTGCAAAGACAGTGATTATGTATTAGTGATGGTGAAAGTGTTGAGTGATGAAAGTTTTTTCTTTTTGGATGTTCCTTTCTTTTTGGAGTTACCCTGCCTCGGTAGGAAACTGCCAATGTGTTTAACAAAAAATATTCTCGAGTAAAGTTAAATTTTTTTTTTAACGAGTTGTAATAATGTTGGTAGAATTACCGACAATATGTAAAGTAAAAGGACACAAGTGCAACTAATGTGACATTTATTGTATCACTACTACTACTACCACCACTAGTATTGCACCTCACTCTGAGCCTATATATACCCTCTGTGTTCATGTACTGTTTGTAACAGCTTGACAAAGCTCCTGGAGAGCGAAACGTTGCCACAATGAATGTCACATTAGTTGCACTTGTGTCCTTTTATTTTAACGAGTTGGCCATCTCCCATCGAGGCAAGGTGACTCAAAAAGAAAGAAAATCCCCAAAAAGAAAACTCTTTCATCATCATTCAACACTTGCACCTCACTCATACATAATCACTGTTAAATAATCACTGTTTTTGCAGAGATGCTCAGAACACAACAGTTTAGAAGCATATACGTATAAAGATACACAACATATCCCTCCAAACTGCCAATATCCCAAACCCCTCCTTTAAAGTGCAGGCATTGTACTTCCCATTTCCAGTACTCAAGTCCGGCTATATAAAAATAACCGGTTTCCCTGAATCCCTTCACTAAATATTACCCTGCTCACACTCCAACAGATCGTCCGGTCCCAAATACCATTCGTCTCCATTCACTCCTATCTAACACGCTCATGCACGCTTGCTGGAAGTCCAAACCCCTCGCCCACAAAACCTCCTTTACCCCCTCCCTCCAACCTTTACGAGGACCACCCCTACCCCGCCTTCCTTCCCCTACAGCTTTATACGCTCTCCATGTCATTCTACTTTGATCCATTCTCTCTAAATGACCAAACCACCTCAACAATACCTCTTCAGCCCTTTGACTAATACTTTTATTAACTCAACACCTAATTTCCACAGTGGCTGGTTACTTACGTGCTTAGCCTGAAAACAAACATGGCTACCTGTTGTTTTCAGAGAGCTACTTTGCAGTTACTTGTATCTTCTGGAGCTGGTTTGCTTATGTACTGATATGTAATTTGTTGTCTATAATAATTACTAATCACTCTAAGGTAATCTGGGAAAACTGTTTTGTAGGGGTGTGTTTGGAGTTTAGTTTACTGGTACTGCAGCTATGAAACCACCACTTGCCAGCAACTTGCTTGACACTTACTCATGTGACTGACTCATAAAATTGTAATAACATGATTGCTAACAAATTACAGAATGAGTGGGACTCGAACCCATGGCTAGTGAGTCCTAAAACTCACAGGCACACTGGCCTGTGAGTTTTAGTACTCGTGTGTCATGAGTTTGAGCTGCACCTGTTATGTGATTTTGTACTCTTGTTCTGGCCCTTGAGCATATAAAGTACAAGAGAGAGTGCTCCTTATATGCTTTATAGCACTGTATTTGTGGAATCTTAATGCTCTCTGGCTGATTGAAATGATTATCTTAAATATTGGCCGACTCCTCAACCAAACTACCTGTCTAATTTATTGACAAGTCTACTAAATTTGCTGACTCATATAGAAGGTGTAGATTATACATGTAGGTCGTAGAGTTATTAATTCAGTTATTTTATGAGTGGAGATGGAGTTGCCATCCATCATAAGGATATAAAAATCTTTCAGTGTTTGTACCTGTGCTCATACACAGGTGTGTGTGCTGTTACTGTAACAGGTGTTGAGCTACACAGTTATAATGGTGGACACTGAGGCAGTGTTACAGGTGTTTATATACAGGGCACAAGTTACATCAGGTGGTAGTAGTGATGTCAATAGTCTGATGGATCGTGATGTGTAGTAGACTGTGGTGACCTGCCAAACCTGTCGTGCACCTCCTCACTCAGTGTTGTCAAGGATGACATGGAGGCAGGGTGCATGTAACACTTTGTTACCTCCTGCACTCATGCTTCTGTAGAGTTGACTGAATTTACTGACTGAAATGATGATGTATTTCGGTTGCTGTGCTATCTGAGAATGGTATCCCTGGACTCCATAACCCCCAGTCCCCAGTGCCTCAATGCATGTGACTGGAATAGCAGAGAGTGCAGCATAAGATGATAAATGTAGTTAAATATTAGCATTGAAGATTTGAAGGGAAGCAGCTGAGGCATTCAAAAGTCACCATTTGGAAACTAATATCTAAATTTTTTTAATTAAAATGGTAATTTAGGACATAAACTGATACTCTTAATTCACAGCCTTAGAGAGACCAAGGTGACCAATATCTTAGAATACACAAGCACATTAAGTTTCAAGCTGCTCAGATGTTTCACTATCAAGTAATCAGCATTGGAGGATTGAAGTTAATCAGATGTGACACTCGGAAACTTAAACATTCATAACAGATGGAAGAAGCACAAAGGAAATTAAAAGCCATCCAGGAAATTTCAGAAAACCCTAAATATTTCTGTACACAGTTGAAATGCATGTCAAGAACCATTTGCACAATTCCCTCATTAATTACAGGAAGTTCATAATGGAAAAAGTGACATGCATGCAGTGTAATGTGATCTTTTATTGACAACATTTCACCCACAAAATGAACTTCAAGTCACAAACAGATCTGTTTGCGACTTAATGAAGTACACCATGTGGATGAAATGTCAATAAAGGATCACATTATACTGCATTTGCCCCCTTTTCCATTGTGTCATTATTTTATACCATTTATCTCCATCCAGGAGGTTTGTACACAGACAATGAAGATGAAATGACGAAAATTTGAAAGGCCTAGGTTGAATCTGAAAATAGTGGAGAATAAGAATTTTTGCATAATCTCTGCCTGCCCGTATACTTTTTTTTTTTTTTAACACATCAGCTGTTTCCCACCGAGGCAGGGTGACTCAAAAAAGAAGAAACAATTTCATCATCACTCACTCCATCACTGTCTTGCCAGAGGCATGCCAATAATACAGTTAAAAAACATTGGTACTAATTCCATAGAATTTGGAAAAGGAATAAAACACATGCCTACACATGCAGCACCTGGGCTATATGTGTGGGCAAAATTCCACTAGGCTGAGCATGATGTAGTCTTTGGAGATAGAGCTAAGATCTAGTTGAATCCCAGAGGCCTTAACGCTTTGAGGGTCCGTCCCGTAGATCTACGGCTTTACGTTCAGGGTCCAAACCGTAGATCTACGTCATGAGCTCGGCTCACTCTGATAAACTGTGAGTTGTACATTTGGGCCTAGATATGAGAGAATACATCTATGTGGTATGTGTTCACCACATAAAACAGATCCTGCAGCACGCTGTGTATAATGAGAGAAAAAAAACTGAAATCATGATTTTTCGATTAAAACAGCGACTTTGTAGTGTTTTTTCGTATGTTTTTTATAGTTCTATTTGCGATTTCTTGGTCTCATTTGATAGAATGGAAGACATATTACAGAAGTAGAGATGATTTTGATTGGTTTTAGCACTGGAAATGGCTTGAAACTGAGCTCAAAGTAGGAGAAATGTTAAATTTTTGCCGATATTCAAGAGTAAACAAATGACCTCACACGTCTAATACACGCCAGCTGGTGGGTCTAATATGCATTCACAAATATGGTGATGATATTTATACAATTATTACAGTATTGCATAACAGTAAATCTTCTATTTCTTGGTGTGAATAAAAATTCATTATGTGAATAAAAAATCAAAATGGAATTTATTTGTAAAGCCTCAAAACATAACTAATGAACACAAGAAATGTTAGTTTAGTTCCAGGAATACCTACATTGTTTATTCTGGACCCTATTTTGAAATGGGAATATTTTGAACTTTGTGTTAAATTGGCCAAATTAACAATTTCCGATCACTTTAATTTGTAGTTGAAACAGTTCACTTGGCGATTTCTAGTGCTCAATCGATAGAATAGAAGTAATACTAGTGAAATAGTTAAGAATTTGGTTGACTGGAATAATGTAATTGGCCTAAAATGGGAGTCAAAGTCGGCAAAATCACCGATTCGTAAATATCGCTGACACATCAAAATTCACGAGAGCATAATTTCGTCAATTTTCCATCAAATTTCATACTTTTTGTTTTATTACCTTCACAAAAAGATTCTCTACCATTTCATAAGAAAAAATTAATTTTTTTTTTTGAAAATTCTTGGACACTGGGGCACCACTTCAGATTTGGGCCTTGGACCCTGAAGGGGTTAAAAATGCAGCTATTTCTCCTTTGGACAAAAAAAGGCAGTAGAGCACTGGAAAAAAATAACAGAAACCAATAGCTCTTAACATCACACATTATAAGTTTTTGAAAGGGTGATTAGACCCCAAATTACATATTTATGAAAAAGTATGATCTACACAGCCAGAAGCAGCATAAATTTAGAGCAGGAAGATCATGCTTGTCATTATCACTAAACCATTGAGTGTTACAGAGGAGTTGGAGGAAAACCAAAATGCTGATGTGGTGGTCTTCACAGATTGATGATGGCATCATGCAATGATAGCATCCATAAAGTGATTATTTTTGATTATGATTATACAGTGGACCCCCGGTTTATGATCAGCTCCCAATGCGACCAATTATGTAAGTGTATTTATGTAAGTGCGTTTGTATGTGTATGTTTGGGGGTCTGAAATGGACTAATCTAATTCACAATATTCCTTATGGGAACAAATTCGGTCAGTACTGGCACCTGAACATACTTCTGGAATGAAATAATATCGTAAACCGGGGGTCCACTGTATTACCAATGAATGAATTCATTCTAAGTTAAGCTATAAATATTTCATCAACCAATTAGTTTAAGGGAAAATAAATATTGTATCATAGTAAGACATGTTTAGCTTCAGAATTGTGCCAGACATGCTTGGGTTTGATGGATTTGGAGTTTTTCATTACAGAGTTGATACATTTACAGAATTGCACTGGGATAAGCATTTGATAACAGTGCACATTATCTTGTGGTGCTGTTTGATGGCAGTGATTGAAACGACTTTGTTTGATTGGCATACTGCCTGCACCCTTAAATATAGCTTCTATTTTTTTTTCTTGGCGCAACATACCTGTGGCTCTATCTTAATCCTTAGCTTCCACTGTTCCCTTCTAGTTGCAGGCCTCTGTTGGCTGCTGGGGGTGTTCAGACTCTTCCATGATGTAATGTTAGTGCTACTGCCATGCAGTCCATGCTCAGAAACAGGGTTGGCAGTCGACTAATTATTACCATTGTGCCTGTTGACTGCCCCTCCTAATGTCTGAGCTAGTGTGTTCTGCTCGTGGCTGTCCTTTGAGTGCGTTAAAAATGTACTAGGTAAGATTAGGACAGGTTACTGTTTGCTGAACTGAAGTGTTTTTCTGAGAACCCAGTTGATTACTCAAGATGTGTATATCATTGATGGTAGTCATTGACATATCACAATGTACACACTTATACTATTTAGATGTTGTACTCTGTTCCACTTTTCTCTCCCTGTACTACAAATGGTCTGTTGTTCTGGACCTGTTCACTTGAGTTTGTAAAATTTGCAAATTACAATGGGTACTGGAGGCAGCAAACACTTGTGAAATGGGTGTGTTACTTGCACACACAGTGACATCTCAGATGTGCAGGGGACATTAACTACCCTCAATGTCATCTTGGACAACCCTGTTTCTTTTTTGTAACAAGGACTGTAACTAGAACTGGTCATGCCCTTGGTCTGCCATCGCCTCTCGATTATTATTCACTGGTAAATACTTAATAATTGGATTTTGTCAATCAAAAATGGTCATTGTGGTTATATGTGTAGTCAGTTGGGGTAAAAAAAAAAAAAAATGCATAAAGTGGAAGGTACTTGAGGGCTTGGTCCCAAATCTGCACACTGCCATAACATACTGGAGTGAGAGATATGGGAAGAAGTGTAAAATAAATCAAGTGAGGAGGAGGGGTGCGGTGGGGACAATAAGGGAACACTATCAACATCTGGGGTCCCAGACTATACAACATCTTACCAGAAGATGTCAGAAACATGGCTGGAACCAGTGTAGAAGCCTTCAAGAGGAAACTGGACAAGTATCTTCACCAGGTGCCAGATCAACCAGGCTGTGGCGGATATGTGGGGCAGTGGGCCTCCAGCAACAACAGCCTGGTTGACCAGGCAAGCACCAGACGAGCCTGGCCCATGGCCGGGCTCGAAGAGTAGATAAACTCTCGAAACTCTTCAAAGGTATATCAAAGGTATCAAAGCTTCATCTGCTGCCTATATTTCTAAACCTGAACTTTTTAGTTGACACTGTTGTGCACATCTATACTCATAACATGTAATATGAATTAATTTTCTAATTCAACACTATTTGGAAAAACAGAAAATGCACTTTTTTTATGCTCCGTTGTATGGGGTAATAAAGAACCTCTTTTGGAGTAAAAGTTAAGTTAATTGTAAAGATATTATAGTCGTAACTTGGCCTTCCTAAAAGCAAATTGTTTTTGTGGCTAAAAATAATGAATTCAACTTAATGTAATAGTACTTAGAATATCTTGACATGTTTTTAACACTATTGCATTCACTATGGCTTGAATTTTTTGTAAGGGAAACCCAAATTTAATGACTTAGTTGTAGCAGCTATATACCAGGGCCACTTCTGGCTCCGCAAAATGTAATTGTTGTTCTCTACATTGCGTAATTTCTACCTGAGGTTGAGCTGCTTCTACTGAAATACATAAATGACCCCACTTTTATATCACTGACTGTTGGTAGTTCTCTGTATAACAATTTGTGATGTACTGTTGATTCAACAGTTTTCTTAATTTGTTGCTATCATCATAGACAGATAATTCACTTGATTTGTCAGTGTCAGAATGCATCTCGCCTGGATCATCTACATTTGAGACAGGTTCACTATCTGGTACCCCACTCATTTTGGGATCCTTTTTCTTTTCCTGTTTCTTATTTGGCCCTTTTCTGTGTTCATCTGTCATAAGAGCCCCATTCATAAGATCCATTGCCATTTCTGTGGCTAGCTGAAAAGGCATAGTGTAGCATATCTCTTGATTTGATAATTGCATCAAATGATATTTCATTTTCTGCTTTTAGTGTTATGAAATAACATTGAGTTGTGGTAATATAGCAGAAATAGTTTAATTATTATTGGTTTGTCACACTGCTACCCCTATACCTTTGCATATCTGACCTCCTTGCATTCATGTGCCACATTTAATACAAAAAAGATGGCTGTTCCACACTGTTATCAGTGATGGAGTGCACACTTCATTATCATTCATTCACTGATTTGTGGTGTAATAATAGTTCCTTTGACACAGGATCATCATCGTTTTATACTTGGCAAGAAGGGCAAGAAGTTACAGGACCTAGAAATGAATACTGCCACCAAGATCCAAGTACCCAACACAAATCAGAACTCTGAAGAAATTGTCGTTATGGGTACCAGAGACAGCATTGAGAAAGCCATGCATGAAATCCAGCTAATTTCTGATGAACAAGTATGTATTTTTTTCATTGCTTTATGCTGTTTAATGTTTTCATTTTACATGTTATTGTGTGATTATTGGGAGTATACAGCTTGAATTTTAAAGCATAGCTTAAATGAGGGTCTTAAATTCACTTTGTAAATCATTATGCTGTACTTCATAATGAAACTTAATAATTGCATGAGAAGTGTATAGTAAGTACAGTACTGTACTCCTTTATGGAAACGGTAAAGTACCTGATGTATCCTTGAAATATTGAATTTTCACCCAATGTGCTTTTTAATTGAAATAAATTTTCTTGTGCAATGTATAGAATAATGCACATTGCTTTGAAATCCTGTCAGTGATAACGTACAGTTTTTAGTCGGAGATGTTACGCTCAACTTGGCTAAGGCTGTTCGAGCAGGTGAAAACTAATTTTTCATGTACTGTCCAGTCATATACAAAGTAATATCTCATTAGAACCCTTGTGTTGAATACAAAATTGGATGCATGTCCTGTACTCTTCTATTGTATTTTATAATCCTGTGTAAAATATACATAGATTTAAACCTTTTAACAGAGTAAACAAGCCTATGAAAAACTAGAGATTCCCAAGCAGTTCCATCCATTTATCTGTGGAGCCTACAATGAAAAGATTAAAGCATTGATGCTTGAAAATGAGAATAATGTGCGTATTAATGTTCCACCGCCAAGTATCATGAAGAATGAGATAACCATTGCTGGAGAGAAGGAAGGTGTTTTGCGCTGTAAGGACATCATCATGAAATCTTACAAAGACATGGTGAGGAAGTTGTGATATTTACAATACACTGTACAAATTATTGTGTACTTAATCTTCAAATCCCAAAAATAATTATTAGTTCTCAGTGATTCTCAGTTTAAAATTCTTACAGCTAGTTTCATGATTTTTTTTAAGCTAATCTGTAAGTCATAATATATCTAGAGAATTTATACACTCAGGAACGAAAGTGCCAAACAGTATCTGTAGAAGTTCGCAAGTCTCAGCATAAGTATGTGATTGGTTATCGGGGAGCTAACATAGCAGAAATTCTTCAAGAGACTGGAGTATCTGTAGAAATGCCGCCCACAGAATCAACTACAGAGACAATCACTCTTCGTGGACCTCAGGATAAGCTGGGACAAGGTATGATTTATGCTTGGCTTTTTTGAATTCTGTATATGCAGTACTTGTCATTAAAGTATGCCAAGTGGGAGGCACTCAGCAAAATAATACCTTAAGTAATACCCCACCCTGGTAGGTTTTTGGGCAAGACAAAAAGTTATCCTGGCCTCTCAACTCATAGTGGACTGTCTCAGGAATCCCTAAGCTTACATGCTGTATCCTAAGTGCTTTCTAGGCTTGTATGGTGGAGAGTCTTGTGTCAGTGGTCCCCCTGCACCATGTGGTCTTAAGGGCTGGGTTTGACAATTTTGGCTGTTGACAAATTAATATGGGCAGGAGTAGGTTACTGATACACAGCAATTACAACAGACCATTTTATTCCTTAAGGCTGGTCATCAAACGAAGGAAATAGTAGAAGCCTTCGAGGTATGTGAGCATTGAGGAGTTGGTTTTATTGGTTCCTTGAGGCCAGTGTTGATGAGAAGCCTACACCAAAAGCACATCCGGGGGAAGCAAAGATAATCACTAACATTAACTCTACTAACATTTCTAAAATTGCTCTTTGATCATTTGTCTGAATCTTTCATGCATTGTTTTGCAATCATTTTTATTGTAAGACAGTTCTTGCCACACCTCAAAATCTGTTTTTGCCACACCTCAAAATCTTTTTTCACTGTCTTTGTGACTGTGAGATACCCATTGAGAACTCTGGGCTGTGATAGTGATCTACTAGATAGGGTATTAGGTCACTCCTGCAGCTGAATGTTGTCATCCACAAATCCTGGGGAAGTTTACCCCATAAAACCCAGAGGAATGCATGTTCGTCACTTACTAAACAGTTGAAGAATGTCCTGAAGTGCAAGGGGCAACCTATTTTGTGGTCGTGGTTTCAGAGAGATGCCTGCATACTTTAATAACAAACACTGTATATAGTAAACTAGGGATTCCCTCTCTCCCATTATTTTCTTTGCTACACTTTCACATAAACACATTTGATGTTTGGCTAACCATTTTAGTTGTTGACAGTCAAGAAGTTCAGGAGCATGGGATTCTGAGATGAGGTGAAGGTCATTGAAGTATACTTTTCATAAAAATGTACCAGTCACACTTTTCTGTGGAACACTAGTACACCTTTTTCTTTCTCATTTTCTCTCTGTCTTTACATATATCTGATCTTGCAGGATTAATGACCAAACAGTCTTTACTGTCTTGTTCAGCTGAGGTTGCTTGACAGTTACTAATCATCTATTAGGATGAGGAAAGGTGTCTATAGGTGCCAGAAATTCTAATACTAATATAAATGTGTTCAGATCTTTTCTACTTTAATTATGCTTTCTGTGTATCATAACAGCAAACAAATTTCTTAAATTGCTATATAATCACTTTAGACAAAGGTTTGTTTATTGTGAATGTATTTTTACATGGATGTAAATATAATAAATTGTAAATTTATTGCAGCTTTGACACTGGTATATGCCAAGGCCAACAGTGTTGTGCAGGCTGATGTGGAAGCTCCCACCTGGCTCCACAAGTTTATTATTGGACGTAAGGGAGCCAACATTCGCCAAATTACTCAGGATCTCCCCAAAGTATGTATATTATTAGTTCTTAAATTATTAATAGCTAGGTATATTCTAGCAGTAACCTGTATGAAAATGTCATCATTCTTACGGTAACTTTTATTTTAATTTTTATAGCATTTTAAGAACATTATTTTTTTATATAGCTGGACTTAAGTTCTGGAAATGAGAAGTACAATGCTTGCACTTTAAAGGAGGGGTTTGGGATATTGGCAGTTGGTGGGATGTGTAATAGGATGGTATATATATAATTGGGGCCCTGATATTGTAATTATTTCAGGTCACTTTTTATATTGTCTTTATATATGTTTCTAAACTGCTGTATCTGGATACCTCTGCAAAAACAGTGATTATGTATGAGTGAGGTGAAAGTGTTGAATGATGATGAAAGTATTTTTGTTTTGGGGATTTTCTTTTTGGGTCACCCTGCCTAGGTGGGAGACGGCCAAAAGAAAAGAAAAAAAAAATGGTTTTTAGTGGACACATTGCTTGCAAGGTGGGAGACTACAAGCTGGTGGGGGCAGTGCTCATGGTTTTGCAAGCAGCTTTTGAAAATTACTGAGATGGATACTCAAATTTCACATAATACTGAATTTTTCATAGATTTTGTGGAGCGTAATATCAAGGGTTTTGCATTCTAGCAAAAGGGTCGCACTTTTTCAATTGCATTAGTTGAAATTGAGTTACGTAGGATCATGTTATGAGATGGTTTATTTTGTTCAGAACTCTACAGTTTTCATTGCAGTGCTACTTAGCTGGAAGGTATATATATGATCCTTCTGTGAAATGTGCACTTATTGTCTGTTTTTTTTTTTTTTTATTTATTTTTTATTAACACATTGGCCGATTCCCACCAAGGCAGGGTGGCCCGAAAAAGAAAAACTTTCACCATCATTCACTCCATCACTGTTTTGCCAGAAGGGTGCTTTACACTACAGTTTTTAAACTGCAACATTAACACCCCTCCTTCAGAGTGCAGGTACTGTACTTCCCATCTCCAGAACTCAAGTCCGGCCTGCCGGTTTCCCTGAACCCCATCATAAATGTTACTTTGCTCACACTCCAACAGCACGTCAAGTATTAAAAACCATTTGTCTCCATTCACTCCTATCAAACACGCTCACGCATGCCCGCTGGAAGTCCAAGCCCCTCGCACACAAAACCTCCTTTACCCCCTCCCTCCAACCTTTCCTAGGCCGACCCCTACCCCGCCTTCCTTCCACTACAGACTGATACACTCTTGAAGTCATTCTGTTTCGCTCCTTTCTCTCTACATGTCCGAACCACCTCAACAACCCTTCCTCAGCCCTTTGGACAACAGTTTTGGCAATCCCGCACCTCCTCCTAACTTCCAAACTGTTATGCTCCAGTAACATGGTTTTTGCATACCTGTGTCTTCATCAGTCACATGCTTGCAAAATCTGTAGAATTACATTCCTGAGCATATATGTAGCCATAATATATGAATCTATATAGAAACAATGAAGGATTTTGCTTGTTTACTGATATCTGCACAGTTATAAGAGGACAGCTTGGCCTGTGTGAATTGACATTTGTGCCTTGGGCCTAAAGTGTTAATGTGGAACAAAAGTGTTAATCTCAGTTTGCTCAAGATTTTCTGTTAAATGGAATAAGTCAGTGAGTGGTCTTGTCCACTCAATAAGCAGTGAGTTAGTTTCTAGATTTTAGGTCTCTGACAAAAGTTAGTTTTGTAAAACACAGCTGATTCTTGTTTATTGATTAAGTGGTTGTGAATTATTTGAAAAGTTGTTAATATTTTAAGAATAAGGAACATGTTCATACAACAAGTGCTAAAATTGAGGGAATAACAAATGTCAGTGGTTTGTTACTCAGAGGTATGAGTTAATGATTATTTCTCTCAGATTTTTGTAAACAAAAAAATTGGCAATATTTGTTTGGCATTTACAAAGATTTGAATCATAATTAATTGGTGACTACAGTTTCTTATAACAGTCACTAGGATTAAGGATGTCTCAAATGTCACTATATTACTTTTATTTTTTTTTAAGTGTAACTTTTTGTAATTTACTTGTTCTTACATTAGCAGTCAATATTAAGTATAAACTATCATCTACAGGTTCATGTAGAGTTCACAGACAAGCAGGGAGGCATTAAGCTGGAAGGACCCCCAGAGGAAGTTGAAGCAGCCAGAGAGAAGCTCGAATCCATGATAGCAGAGATGCAGAGTAAACTGTGCTTTGATCAGATCACTGTCGATCCTAAGTAAGATGCCTGGCAAATAGTGACCGGATTTATAATGCCAGTGGAATAACTATTTATTCATCTGTATCTCGTAACTTTTTTTATAGCTTATTTATAGAGGATAAAGACTTTAGAAAAGTTTTCAGGCTATCATAATTGAATATAATTCTTCAGCTTAATTTGTTTACTTTGTGTGAGCAGAAATACTCCTATTTATTTACCCCTGTCACAAATGTTATCTTGCTGATTATTTTACCCCTTGTACAGAATTCTTCAGCTTAGCAATCCTATTGTGAAACTTTCCAGTATGTCTAAATCAAGAATTTTTCCCAGTCAACACACCAAATCCTTTTTCCATATACAGTGGTACCCCAAGTTTTGAACAGCTCCCAACTCGAAAAATTATGTAAGTGCCTCTAACCGTTTCCTCGCTGCAGTGAGGAGATGGTTGGAGGTAGTGGAGATGTCCTGTCTAAGGGCAATGTGTGGTGTAAATGTTATGTAGAGAATTCGGAGTGTGGAAATTAGGAGAAGGTGTGGAGTTAATAACAGTACTAGTCAGAGGGCTGAAGAGTTGTTGTTGAGGTAGTTTGGTCATTTAGAGAGAATGGATCAAAGTAGAATGACATGGAGAGCATATAAATCTGTAGGGAAAGGAAGGCGAGGTTGAGGTCGTCCTTGAAAAGGTTTGAGGGAAGGGTTAAAGGAGGTTTTGTGGGAGAGGGGCTTGGACTTCTAACAAGCATGCATGAGCATGTTAGATAGGAGTGAATGGAGATGAATGGTATTTGGGACCTGACGAGCTGTTGGAGTGTGAGCCGGGTAATATTTACTGAAGGGATTCAGGGAAACCGGTTATTTTTATATAGCCGGACTTGAGTCCTGGAAATGGGAAGTACAATGCCTGCACTCTGAAGGAGGGGTTTTGGGATATTAGCAGTTTGGAGGGATATGTTGTGTATCTTTATACGTATATGCTTCTAAACTGTTGTGTTCTGAGCACCTCTGCAAAAACAGTGATTATGTGTGAGTGAGGTGAAAGTGTTGAATGATGATGAAAGTATTTTCTTTTTGGGGATTTTCTTTCTTTTTGGGTCACCCTGCCTTAGTGGGAGACGGCCGACTTGTTGAAAAAAAAGAAAAAAAATTAACAAACCTTTAAACCAGTTGCTGCTGCTCTGTTGTGTCAGTAGCCTTTAGCAAACTGTTAACTACACAATTGCCAGCCCAGTGGACACTTCCATAATAAAAGCAATAGTTCTACCATCATGCTTTGAATATAATGCAATAATGCTTTGCTATTGGTTCATTTTTTTTTCTATTTGCATCACCACTTAATTTTCCAAAATCTATTTTCATTGCAAGTATTTTGTGAGTAATACAAGTGTGTTAATTGCAGGTTCTACAAGCACATCATTGGAAAGAGTGGCTCAAACATCAATCGTATTCGTAATGATACTGGAGTTTTGATCAACATATCAGAGGCTGACGGTAGCAATCTCATTCGCCTTGAAGGCAGCCCAGATGGTGTATCACAAGCAAAGAAGGTAAATGACCAGTGTTGTTGGGGCAAATGTTTTTGCAAGTAAGAGTGCTATGTATGCTTTGACGACTACTGTACCTTAGTCTAATGCTTATATTCAGTAGCAATTTTCCTTATACTGGCTAAGCATACATATTGTGTATCTTAAGTTATGTGGAAGTCTAGGGAAGTAATCTAAGTACCTTGTCTCCCACTTATGATAAGTTTTAGACTTTGCTCTCACTGCTACACATGTTGGTTTGGTATGTTTTCTCACAGATCCACAACATGGAAGACAGAGTTAAAATGACCTAAACAGAAAAGAAGAAAATTGCTGAATTTTATCAAATTAATTCTATACTTATTGAATAAGTATACAGCATAGTATAAGTAGACAACTTAGTAGAATGTACAGCATAGGGCCGTAGACGGCCCTATGCTGTACATTCTACTAGATTGATGGACTGATCACATCGACTCCAGGCTGAGGGACTGATTACCTCAAACTCCTCTCCTTACACCACCTGCTTTGTATGGGACTGATGAAGTCACTGTGTGGCGAAACGTTTCCTGAACAAAGATTCCCATATGTTGCATAAGTGTCTCAGTCTTCAAATTGTACTGATGAAGTCACACAGTGGCTAGAGTCATCAGGACAAAGATGTCATCTACATACACAACTTTCCTTATATGAGTGAATATCAAAATGGTACACAATGCTGACAGGTTGGTAGGTAAGACACATAGGCAACTTTATTCCGAAACGCTTTGCCTACACAGTAGGCTTCTTCAGTTCTTCAGTCGAGTACAGAAATTAGACAGGAGCAGTAGAGATGTGAAGACGATGTAATCAGTCCATCACCCTTGAAATCGTAGATTTGAGGTTGTCAGTCCCTCAGCCTGGAGATGTTCTGTTCCATAATCTGGAACTATCTGTTGCCTATGTGTCTTACCTACCTTTCTTTGTATGAATCTTAGTCCTGGCTTTGTCTCTGTAGATGCCTTCCTTTCCCATTACATTGTAAAATGCTCCAAACTTCAGAACACCCGTGACTTAACCTGATTCTTTTTTCCCCCTTCTCCTTTTCTCTTTCTCCTTTGGGTTTTCTTTCTTCTGCCTTGGGTATTTGGTCCATTATTATTTCCCCCACTCCCTCTGTTTTTGTTTCTACCTTTTGTGGGCCCCTAGCTCCCTTGCAGTGCTCCTCTTTCTTAATATTTGACTCGCTCCACTATACTTCTTCTCCCTATACCACTACCTCTTCCTCCTTTCCTACTACCTCTCTTGTCCCGTCCCTGTCTGTTGGCCTATATATATACTGCCTCCTCCTCCTCTGCTTTCTGTTAGTGTGACTTTGTAAATGGTCCAAGTCGGACTGAAACATCGTCGTAAGCTCCTCTCTCTTGTGTGCGGGTTATATATGTACAGTGGACCCCCGCATAGCGACCTTAATCCGTGCAAGAGGGCTGGCTGTTATGCGAAATGTTCGGTATGCGAATGAATTTTCCCCATAAGAAATAATGGAAATCAAATTAATCCGTGCAAGACGCCCAAAAGTATGAAAAAAAATTTTTTACCACATGAAATATACATTTTCCTACACACAAAGAGAAGGATACATGCACAATAGTAGAGTAGTACATGCACAGTATATATTGTGCATGTACTAGTCTACTAAATGAAGAATAAATGACACTTACCTTTATTGAAGATGCAGCAATGACTGATGAGACACTGTGTCCTGGGAGTGCCTTTTCCTCCTGAGTACTGTAGGTCCTGTTTGGTATTTTCTTCCAGAACAGGCCTTATCACACTGTGTATGTCACTACGATTCTCAAATCTCTCAATCCAACCTTTGCTGGCTCTAAATTCACCAATATGAGCACTAGTTCCAGGCATTTTCCCTGTTCACCTGGGTGTTAGTCGACTGGTGTGGGTTGCATCCTGGGAGACAAGATTAAGGACCCCAATGGAAATAAGTTAGACAGTCTTCGATGACACTGACTTTTTTGGGTTATCCTGGGTGGCAAATCCTCTGGGGGTTAATTGTTTCTTGGTATTCTCAATAAGCCACACCAACAACGGTGCTACAGCAGCAGCAGCAGCTGACGGTGGTACAGCAGCAACAGGCGATGCTACAGCAGCAGCAGACGATGCTACAGCAGCAACTGACGATGTTACAGCAGCAGCAGACGATGCTACAGCAGCAGCAGCAGCAGACGATGCTACAGCAGCAGCAGCAGCTGACGGTGCTACAGCAGCAACAGACGATGCTACAGCAGCAACAGACGATGCTACAGCAGCAACAGACGATGCTACAGCAGAACAGACGATGCTACAGCAGCAACGATGCTACAGCAGCAGCAGACGATGCTACAGCAGCAACTGACGATGTTACAGCAGCAGCAGACGATGCTACAGCAGCAGCAGCAGCAGACGATGCTACAGCAGCAGCAGCAGCGACGTGCTACAGCAGCAACAGACGATGCTACAGCAGCAACAGACGATGCTACAGCAGCAGCAGACGATGCTACAGCAGCAGCAGACGATGCTACAGCAGCAGCAGACGATGCTACAGCAGCAGCAGACGATGCTACAGCAGCAGCAGACGGTACTACAGCAGCAGGAGCAGCTGACGGTGGTACAGCAGCAGCAGCTGACGGTGGTACAGCAGCAGCAGCTGACAGTGCAGCAGCAGCTGACGGTGGTACAGCAGCAGCAGCAGCTGTACCACCAATAGTAGCGATGGTTGATTGGGGTTTATTATACAACCTGGCCAGCTCGGAGACATGCACTCCACTTTCATACTTATCAATGATCTTTTTCTTCATCTCCATAGTAATTCTCACCCTTATTGCTGTAGGGTTGGCACTAGAAGCTTTCTTGGTGCCCATGGTCACTTATTTTCCAGAAAAAAATCACCAAAAACACTGTAATAATACGAAATGTTCCGATTGTATGCTTGGATGTTACTGCGGAGGCTGGCTGGTAAACAATGCCACCGGCGGAACATGTGAGCGTGGCTCAGGCCGCACATTGGACGCGTCTCGGACGAAGGGCGCTGAGTGGGTTTTTGGGCGGTATGCGAGGCAAAATTTTAGCGATCAAAGCGTCCGGTATGCGGATTGTCCGTTATGCAAGGCGTCCGGTATGCGGGGGTCCACTGTATTGCTCCAGACGCAGTATTGTGCCTTTTTGTTATTTATTAATATCCATTTTAACCATGCATTGTCGTTACCACGCCTTGTGGAGTAAAGCCTATAGGGCCAGGAGGCTTACCAAATAATGTGGTACACATTAGTACTACATCCATAATGACCATTGATAATTTTTCCAATTCATTGGAAAGCAGGCTTAATTTTTTCTGCTTTGCTCTCATTCTGGTTAGAGTCTGAGATAAATATCCAAACTAGGTTCTTTTTAAAAAATTAATGCAATCATGAAACAACAGTTATTAACCCTTAAATGGTCCAAACGTATATATACATTTTTTCAACATCTGAAAGTATGTAAAAAAATGTAGATTTTTTTTTTGTTTTACATGTGAAAACGTGTAAAGAAAACTTTGATCTACATTTTTTTGTTATATTTGAAAATATGTAAAAAAAAGTAGATCTTTTGTAGCAATACGAATTTGAACGTTGATCTGTTTGGACCGTTTAAGGGTTAATGGTTAGTCTTAATTTCATCTGAACTTAACCCACTTATTTCATTTCCTAACTTCATTTCATCCTCAGTAGGATAATAGAATTGGCACCATTTATTTCTTTGTCACCATTAAAAATTACCGAATGTTCAGTAGAACCAAAATGGTGAACCTGGCATTCTTTTTTCTGATCAGTGATATAATATCATGCCTCATAGAGTGCATAAATTAAAGGAAGGCAAAAAATGAATAAGTTCAGCTAATGCGAAAAATGGCTGGGTCTATGGTTCAGTATCTCAAGAAACCTGATAATGGCCAGAGTTCATCAAATGATTTTAGTCATGATCTTACTGATAACACTGATGTCGATTCTGACTCCGACAATGGTAATATAAGAGAGAGGAATGAAGGGAATGAGAGTCTGAGAGAGTTAGCATCGATGTGTGACGTTTGTTCTTGGAAAATTCCAGTTCCAGACCATTCCAGCATTGAAATCATCAAAAGAGGTAGTTATGTTTATCAGAACAAGGATGGCCCTTTTTGTGTTGCAAAGAGAAAAAATGCAAAAGGCGATGAGCATTAGCTTTCAAAAGAATGGTTCTACAAACAGATGCCGAATGGTGAGAAAGTTTTGCGATCATGGATGGTATACTTGCCAGTCAGTGGGAAATTATACTGTTACTGCTGTAGATTGTTTACTTCTAGTGTTACAAGTATAACATCAAAGTTTGTGACTGGGTTTCAAAAATGGTGGAAGCTGAATCCAAAAGTACAGCCATGAAACTTATGATGAACACCTACGTTGCCTCGAGAATTGGAAAACCATGGCAACTGGTTTAAGGGTGAACAAAACCATAGATGCAGAAATAATTGTTTCAATGGAAATCCAGAAGAAAAGGTGGAAGGAAATATTGTACAAGTTGCTCGACATTACACTGTTTCTGGCTAAACAGAACTTAGCATTTTGCGGCCACAGGGATGACGAATTCTCATCAAATAGAGGAAACTTTCTTGAGATGGTTGAATTAATAGCTAAGTATGATCCTGTGCTAAAAGAGCACCTAATGAGACTGAACTGCAGCTCAAGTGAACACAGGTCATCAGTTTCGTATCTCTCACCATTAACTCAAAATGAGTTTTTAAGTGTTCTACTTCTACAGCGTTATGTTTGACAGTACACCAGATGTGACACACACTAACCAAATGTCAGAAGTTATCAGGTACGTGCAAATGGAGAATGGAAGACTTCAAGTGAAGGAAGTTTTTCTTGGTTTTTTCCTTTGAAGTGCAAAAAAGCTGCTGATATCAGTTTTGATATCCTGAAAAAGCTGGGAAGTGATGGACTGGACTTCATGCTGTGCCGTGCTCAAGGGTATGA